TGGTAGATCAAACTTCTATAGGAGTAGTGGTTCCCCAGAATCAGACAAAAGCACTTCTTGAGAAGCTGACATCGAAATTGACTCAAATCCTCACCCAAAATCAGACCCAAAATCCGACATCGCACAATGATTCATCCGCCTCGCAAATTGCAATCAAACTAGATGGAACCAATTATGGTTTATGGTCCCAAGTGGTGGAGATGTATATCTCTGGCAAAGACAAGTTGGGATACATCAACGGAGACCTTCCGGAGCCTTTACCTACAGACCCTTAGTTTCGAAAGTGGAAAACCAAAGACTTGACAATGAAAGGATGGTTAATCAATTCCACGGATCCGGCGTTGATTGGCAATTTTATCCAATTCCCAACCGCAAAAACAGTTTGGGATTCGGTGGCTACCACGTTTTTTGGCAGCACCGATACTTCCTAGGTGTATGATTTGAAGCGCCGAGTTGCTCGGTTGAAACAGGCAGGGGGCCCTATCGAAAAGTACTACAATGACCTTCAAGGACTCTGGCGGGAGATTGATTTTCGCCGCCCTAATCCCATGTCGTGTCCTACTGACATTGAGCACTACAACACAACTCTTCAAGAAGATCGTGTCTACACCTTTCTTGACGCTATTGATGATTGCCTTGACAATGTTAGGGCTGATGTGTTACAGATGCAACCGTTTCCTATGGTGGAACAAGCTTATGCACGAGTCCGGCGAGAGGACGTACGTCAAGCTGTGATGTTGACCAACGCAGATGCCCCCTCTTCCGCTGCTGCAATGATATCTTGAGGGAGGAGGATGGGGCCACGGTCTCTGACGGCAATCCGAAACCAAGAACTTTATAGCTGACATCTCTGGGTGGTAGGTCCAATGCAGGTTCCAAGCACAAGCCACAACCAACTGGGGGATGTACCCATTATGGGAATCCAAAACATACCAAGGAGACTTGCTTTAAGTTACATGGGTACCCTGATTGGTGGAAAGATTTGCAGGCCAAGAAAAAGACTGAGACTGCAGCTAGTGGGGGTAAAGGACAAGCGTCATTGGCCACTGGGGACTCGCCTCTCTCATTGGTTCTACAGGTAGACTCCACTAGTACCTCTGCCTCGGCTCCTAAAGGTAACTACGGATATATTTTTGTCAACACTCATCAGGGGGGGGGGGGGGGTAGTGGGTGAATTGTTGATTTAGGCACTACCGATCATATGATGCCTAATCCCGATGACTTCATTTGCCACACCACACCGCGACGACAAAGTATCTATAATGCTAATGGCCGTAGTTATCTAGTGACAGGGGCTGGGAGTGTTGCTTTCACGCCTTCCCTCTCTTTATCTCGCACTTTGCTTGTGCCATCATTATCTAATCGATTATTATCTGTTGGGCAAGTTACTGAGGAGTTGGATTGCTGTGTTCTCATGCACCCCAATTTTTGTTTATTTCAGGATATCCTCACGAAGGAAATTATTGGACGTGGTACTAAGAGGGAGGGGCAATACTATGTGGATGATCTCACCATTGGCAGAGTTCATCTTACTCGGGGTCAGACTACTAGTAGGGAGAAATAAATATGGTTGTGGCACCATTGATTAGACATCTGTCTTTTGGGTATTTGAAGTACTTGTTTCCTGAGTTGTTTAAGGGTTTATCAAATTCTGTATTCCATTGTGAAACATGCATCTTGGCAAAGAGTCATCGTGTTCCTTTTCCATTGAGTTTTAATAAAAGCACAACACCTTTCGTGTTAATTCATTCTGATGTGTGGGGTGTTTCACCGATTACCACTCTTTTGGGAATTTGATGGTTTGTGATGTTTGTGGATGATTGCACACAAATGACATGGTTGTATTTGATGAAGCATAAGAATGAAGTCTCTATCATATTTTGGGTGTTTCATCGCATGGTTGAAACACAATTTGGAGCACAAATTCGCATCCTTCGTATAGACAATGGGGACGAATATGTAAATCAATATCTCACTGGATATTTCTAGGAACATGGTCTTATTCATGAGACGTCGTGCACTCAGACCCCCCAGCAAAATGGGGTTGTAGAAAGAAAGAACCGCCATATTCTAAAGACAGTGCGGGCTTTCTTGGGGGGTGGGCATGTTCTCACTCGTTTTTGGGATGCTGCTATTGTTATTGCAATCCACTTGATGAATCGAATGCCCTCTCACATGCTAAACTTCAAGACCTCGTTGCAAGTCCTTTCGACACATGTTTTTCTTCCCTCGTTCTTGACACTTCCCCCTAAAGTGTTCGAGTGTGTAGCTTATGTTCATCTTCACAAGAACCAACGGACCAAAATTGGATCCTTGTGCTATTCGGTGTGTTTTTCTTGGCTATAGAACCCATCAGAAGGGCTATCGCTGCTACAACTCGGCCACTAAGAAGACCCATGTCACCATGGATGTCACATTTGTTGAGTCTGAATTCTTCTTCCCCAACACCAATTGTCCCTTTCAGGGGGAGATACATCGAGAAAGGAAACATTGGTGGGAGAGTGGTGGAATTTTGGCAAGGGCTGGGGTTGAGTCTAACTCATGGCACACCCCGGTAGTACCGTCGGAAGAGAGAGTAGCATCTCAAGCAGTGACAGGGCCGACAACAGAAGTTGCAAAGGACGAACATCAAGCCTTGGTAGGAGGTGACCGGCAACTGGTATTGATGCAGGATGCTTCTGAACAGTCTAAAGAACAGCTCTCTCTCACTCGTGATGTCCCCTCTTTAGTACTCCTGAGGTAAGTTCTCCTACTACGGCTGATTCCTTTGATGATTCTGATGTGGTTGTTAGATATAAATTACCTGACAGGCACAATCGTGGCCGGCCCCCTAGTCAGTATTCATCAGACATGGAAGTGCGGAGATCAAGGTATCCTATTGCAAATTACGTCTCAACAAAAAGATTATCTGAACCTTTGAAGGCATTTGTATCAAATGTCTTTGCAATCCGAGTTCCTAGTGGGGTGCAAGAAGCTCTAAGGGATCCCAAGTGGGTTCAGGCAATGAAAGAAGAGATGGAAGTGTTGTAGAAAAATAAGATTTGGAGTCTTGTAGAGTTGCCGAAGGGAAAGAAAGCAGTGGGGGTGTAAGTGGGTATTTATTATTAAATACAAAGCGAATGGTTCCATCAAGAGGTACAAGGCGCGGCTGGTAGCGAAGGGGTATACACAAACTTATGGTGTGGACTACCAAGAAACATTTTCTCCCGTTGCGAAGTTTAATACTGTGAGAGTATTGTTGTCTCTCGCAACAAACCTGGATTGGCCGTTGCATCAATTTGATGTGAAGAATGCATTTCTACATGGACGTTCCACCTAGGTATAGTTGTGTCACTCAACCCAATATGGTGTGCAAATTGGAACGATTATTGTATGGGTTAAAGCAATCACCCCATCCTTGGTTTGGTCACTTTGGTTCAGCAATGAGAAAGTATGGATATTCTCAAAGTAACTCGGACCACACTTTGTTTCTAGAGCGACGTGAAGGTAAGGTAATGGCATTGATTATATATGTAGATGATATGATTATCACAGGAGATGACCTATAAGAGATTTCGAGACTCTAAGAGAAGCTAGCGGAAGAGTTTGGGATGAAGAATCTGGGAGGGTTGAAGTATTTTTTAGGCATTGAAGTGGCCAGATCGAAGGGAGGTATTTTCTTGTCTTAGAGAAAGTATGTGCTGGACTTGTTGGCCGAAGTTGGAATGTTGGAGTACAAGCCCGCTAACACCCCTATAGTTCAGAATCATAAACTTGGGGAGTATTCAGACCAGGTTCCGACCAATAAAGACAGATATCAAAGGTTAGCTGGCAAACTGATTTATTTGTCACACACTTGTCCTGATATTGCTTATGCTGAAAGTGTTGTGAGTCAATTTATGCATGCTCCGAGTGAGGATTATATGAATGCTATGACTCGAATTTTGCGACTCAAATTCTGCGTTACTTGAAGTTAGCTCCTGGAAAAGGTTTGTTCTTTGCAAAGAATGGTCATCTTGAGGTGGAGGGGTTTACGGATGCGGAATGGGTAGGTACTATCTCGGATAGGAGGTTTACGTCTGGATATTTCGCGTTTGTGGGGGGAAACTTGGTTACATGGAGGAGTAAGAAGCAAAAGGTGGTAGCCTTATCCAGTGATGAGGCAGAATTTAGAGGGGTGGCCAAAGGGTTGTGTAAACTACTATGGCTCAAGAGGTTGATGACGGAACTTGGCTTCCCATCGAAATCTGAGATGAGATTGTTCTGCGATAATAGAGCAGTGAATGACATTTCTCACAATTCGGTACAACATTATCGAACTAGGCACATTGAAGTTGACAGACATTTTGTAAAGCAGAATTTGGATGCTAAGGTGGTTCGGTTTCCCTTTGTCAGGTTTGAAGATCAGTTGGCAGATATTCTTACTAAGACAGTGTCGAGTAGAGCCTTTCACAGCTATCTTGTCAAGTTAGGTATCAAAGACATCTTTTCACCCACTTGTGGGGGAGTGTTGACATGAGCTGTGAATTAAAGCTAATTTATGATTATGTAATATTTACTTCCTATTTTGTCTCCTGATAAGGAAGAGTCCTAGGGTTTGAGTCATCTGTTATGTATATATAGACAAAGCTTTGTAAATTGAAGAGTGTGATAGAAATATAGAAATTTTTCTCCTAAAACCGCGTGTGTTTCTTCACACTATTCATAGAACTCATATAATTTAGGAGAAAAATAACATTAAAAGTGCCAAAAGTTTCATACAATGCTCATTTTAATGCCAAATTTTTCACGGGCTCACTTTAGTGCGAAATCGGAGAAAAAAATGATCACTTAAGTGCCTCCGGCGAGAAATTCCGGCCAAAATGATTACGTGGCTTTTATAATTAGAATTTTAATATAAGTTGGCATATTTTTTAAAATATCTAGTCCACGTGGATGTGCAAAACAATGTCGCATGAGCCGATGTGGTTGGCTTGCCTAAAATGACGTTGCACGACTCCTGGGAGCAAAAACGACGTCAATCCACCATCGATTTCCTTCTCAGTCATTCTCGGTCCACCAGTAGCAACCGTCGATCCACCATCGCTGGCCACAATAGCTATCGTATGTTGAGAGCAGAAATCAGAGTATCGGAAGAGGACTCAGACATTTCTGAACGGCCAAAAAAATCTCTCTCGGATAATCAATTTCCAGAGGCTTCTCCATCTCCATCTTCTCTCAGTCGCACCATCTCCGACCATCGGTGGCCGCCGCTCATCCTTCTTCACCGACTGCCACAGGTTATAGCACAAAACAGAGCACATTTACATGCACAGAGAGCTCATTCCTCTTGTTCGCGCTTTGCAGCTGTTTCTTGGTCACCATCGCTGAAGTGCTCTAACCTCGGTCAACATTGCCTCCTTCGACGATTCCAGTCCACAATGTTGCTCCTAGGATCTCCTTACTCAGATCTAGTTCCCATCTCCTCGCCGGAATTTGGAAATTTGGTTGAATTGGCGATATAGGATTTTGAATTGGGGAATTTCTTTCAATTTGTGATTTAGAATTTATATTGTGGAGCATACGATGTAGACGAAGTTGTTTAGGGCTCTATATGATGACTAGGCACGTCGGCGAATCACGTTGGCCGAAGAAATTAATAAAATATAGTCACGTCGAATCTCCGTCGACCCTAATTGGAATTAACACTTAATTGATCGTTTTTTTTAAAGAAAAAATGGCACTAAAGTGAGCGTCGTAGGAAACTTTTGGCTTTTCTAGTGTCCTTCTGCCATAATTTATTTTATGAAGCTAAAATATTAGTGTTTTTTTATACTTTAATATTGTCTGCCTCTTTATTTTAAATTAAATTAGTATAACAGGAAAGATGAATCTTTTTTTACGTGCTAGGATTTTTCATATGAACTTAAATGTTATAATACTGTAATTATCACATAAAAATAATCATGAATTTAGTTTTTAGAATGAACGCAAGTAAATCACGAGTTAACTAATTTTCTCACTAATTAGGACTGCATTGGTAGGTTCCAAATCTGCAGAGTGTTACGCGGTAAATGTGAAGGACTCGACGCGGTGGTGAAGATACAGGAAGAGGCAGTCAATTGCAGAGTCTTGCCCGGTGACGACGTACGCAGAATGAAGGTATGCTGCCGAACTGCTTTTCTATTTTATTTCGCTTCTTCTGATCCTTGAAGTTCTAGATTTTGGCTAGCTGTATCAATGTTGATGAATGTTCTGTTTCATTTTTCAGTATTAATATTATACATGCTTAAGTATTTCGCCGATGACACATTCTAGTAAGGTCAGATTGATCGGATACCGATGGAAAGGTGAAACGGTGGGCATGGGTTATATGATCAACGCCGTCGAAAAAAGACAGTCGCTGCCTTGCTTTGCCATGTTCATAGAACTTACATTTCACATGACTGAGAGGAGACCGCCATAACTGTTGCTGAGTCATTTATGAAATCTAGCTGCATTCATTGTACAGTCTGTTGAAAAGCTAATTCTTGCATGCGTCTTTGGTAGTTCCGAATACACAAACCAGTCTGAAGGACCTGGTTGATGTTCCAGCGCTAGTTGGCAAATTTACCATTTCTTATTTCTCATACATGTGTTATATAAGTTTAAATGGTGTGCATACCCGAAGTCAAAACAAGCTGCTGACATGGTTGGGAGCTCAGAATCAAAGCCGCGCTTCGGCTTTCAAATCTCCTTGAATATATGCATTTTCTGGAAACAAACCCACCATATCCGCCATTCCATGAATTGGAATTTGGGTGCAGAACATGTTACCATTGATGATGTAAGCCTTTCTGACTGCCCATTGCAAATGTTTCCGCAACAATCGATCGATTGCCTTCTTTTGTGTGATGAGGTTTCCGGGACTTGTAGGATCGCAACGCAATCTTATTTGATAATAGCACAATTTCTGTCGGAACTTTTACGGATAAAAGGATGCTGTTAAATCAGTGTGTGAAAGGCTGTCACGGCTATGTTGATTCAACTCAGAGTAACCGCAGTAGTTCTGATTCAGTTTGATATTTGCAATGATTACATTTCCACCTATAAGAAGTCTTGATTCACTTGTTGCCCGTTAAGGTTCTTTGACGTCTCTGGTGACATATCGCCAAAATATTTTTCTTCCCTTCAAGAAGCTACGCACAGCATGAACCCACAAACTAGCATTAGACCCATGTAGAACAGCTTGTATGGGCTGGGCGACCTCGGATTTGTCCACTCTTGCAGATTAATAAACCTACAAAAGCCCATGCGACAGCAACACGTCAAGCTTCGATCCCCAAGTCGCTATTGGTTGACTTGGTTTGGGTCGAGGTTCTTTGATAAGGGTGGACGGTCAAATCGGACCCCTTGGATTATCTGTCGTATCTGCGCTTGTCTGAATGTGCGACGGCCGCAATATCTACAGTGTCATCTATTCGGACTGGAACCTCGGAAGACAACGAAAGAAGACATCGTAATACTGCAAGTCGCGTCAGCCTCCTTTGTCCTGGCCTCAGGTCCTAGCCGAGAAACTTCCAAGCATATCAAAAAGCCAACAAGACGAATCGGATGGTGCCGACCCTGCCGAATATACGTGATCTCTTTTGACCTATATGTGAAAAGAGCCTGAGCCGCGAGGCTTGCCCATTGTATCGATGGAGGCAAGTATGTGATTGATTTGTCACGGTTCGATACCGATAGTTTTGATATAGTGTCTTGAGGGCGACCCAAATTGCATCCGATTTATGTAGATTCTCTGTTAGATCGCATGATGGATTAATTTGGGTGTAAAATGGGTATAGTTGATGAGCACATAGGAGTGATACATTCTCCATCACGATGCATATCGTGCATAGCAGAATGACTGATGAAGGCTTTGCTAATCAAATTGAAACACTGTGTAAGGAAGCAAAAAACGACTTGATTTTCTCCATTCAAGCTGGGCTAACTTTGTAGTCGAGCTTCTTGTCTAAGAGCAATAAGAAAGTCAAGATTTGGGTTATAAAATTCATTGTAGGAAAGATAATTAGCCAAGAAACTATATCTTATAGGTCAAAGAGCCGACACGGTGAACGCTAATTAGATACGCGATACGGATTCGATTTCTTATACTTGTAAGGATAAAAGTTTGAGCCACCCAATTGGACTTTGACCGGAGGTTAGTAGAGATATAATGGGCTGACGCGCATTTTCTTCGACCGAAAAGCGATTGATTGAGGAATTTGACAGCAAATGGAAGTAATCAACAGATTCATCTGCATGATGAGTTTATAAGCGTGTGTATGCATTGAAAATTCATGAACGGAGAAGGGCTTAGTTTGAGTCGTTATCCGTGGTCAACAGTGTCTAAAAAAGTTAAAAAGGTTCCCCTGGTCTAGACAACACTCGGATAGACAATGAAGGTTGATTGAGGAATTCGACAGCAAATGGAAGTAATCAACAGATTCATCTGCATGATGAGTTTATAAGCGTGTGTATGCATTGAAAATTCATGAACGGAGGAGGGCTTAGTTTGAGTCGTTATCCGTGGTCAACAGTGTCTAAAAAAGTTAAAAAGGTTGCCCTGGTCTAGACAACACTCGGATAGACAATGAAGGTTGATTTTCCTGAATTGGAACGACAAAAAAAAGTAAAAAAGAAGAAGATAAGAATCGACAGGGCCACGTGCAAATTAAGGTTCCAACGAGGGAAAATTTTCAAAGATGACGGCTCACGAGTGACGTTGACTGCTCTTGAGTTGATGACTCCCCTTTTCCGACGTTGCCTCGCTTCCGTCATCCATCATTATTTTCTTGCTTACGACAAGCTTACCACTAAACTTAATTTACAATACTTTGTATCAATTTTCGTTCCCATGAATTAAAAAATATATACATTTACAGTAACGACATGCTATTATGCTGTTTTTAATGAATAAAGCATGTATTCGGATAGAGTTGGGGAAAGAGCATATGAAGAAGTGTGGGGCTAAACTCGCCATCGAAGAAGAACAGTATGGAGAGAAATATACAATAATTTATCTAGTCAAAAGTGATGGATATAGGACGCGCAAAAGAACGAGAGAAAAAGATAAAATTCTCCGTTCCGTTTATGATTAACAAAAAGCTTATTTCTCATGCATGATATTTCAACAAGATACTTGGTAATACTGAAACTACCGAACGCGCAATAAAAGATTAGGCATCCTCTGAAAATAAAATGGATTGTGAATTTGAGTGGAAACTTGGTTTGATTAATCGTGCATCGAGTAGTGTTGAAATATAACTCGAATCGATCAGTATTCAAAGATGACCCGTTTATAAATCGCTTCTGTTAATCGTCAAGTTCCCTATTCATTAGGGGTGTACAAAGGAATCGAGAATCGCTCGGAACCAGACCGGACCAGCCCATAATCAACGGTTCCCATGGAGACCGGACTGGTTCCCGGTTCTAATTTACTAGAACTAGTGAGTATCTATCTAGTTCACGGTTCCAAATGTTAAACAGTTCACCCGCCCACTCGGACCGGACTAGTATATATATATATATATAAAATGGGAGCATTCATCCTAAAATCACAATATCATTTCGTATTTGATAAGCAAAACCCTCATGCAGATTCTTTATTATTCTTACATTTTTTCTTGTAAAGAAGTATCCACATAGAAACTAGGTTCACTATGATATTAATTGATGAATGCAATTTTGTAGGAATTGAGGACCGGTTCCATGGACCCACTCGGTAACCGAACCGGGCCCAATTCCAATTTTTCAGAGCCGATCTTTAATGGGCGATTCCCAATTCCATAGTGAGAATGGCCCACCCGGACCATGCTCGCCGCAACTAACCATACACGTGCATCATAACATGAATTATTGTGTGAATTTAGATTGATAATCAACCGTACACGGACTTAATCCGTCCCATCAAGTCAAGCACCAATGACCACGTAACTGTGCGCTTTTTCTGGCTCTTTTTAACCCTAGTGGGCATGAGCTTATATAAACAAAGGTGTCAGCCCGAGCAATCCATTTCACACAAAGGCGACCACCATTGTCATCGGAGATAATATAGTAATGGCTTTGTCTCTCGTGAACGTGAGAGGGAAGGAAATGGAGAGAGGTCTTCAGCATTCGACATCAAGGAGAACGGAGAGGAAGATCATTGAGAAGAACCGGAGGAATCGGACGAAGCATCTCTTCTCCGTGCTCAACTCCCTCCTCCCCTCTCTGCCGTCTGATCAGGTCTCTCTCTCCCGATCTTTCGATCTCGATAGTTCATATCCATCTATTAAACTAGGATTGCGAATTCGTGTCATTGCAAAAGACTGATGTATTATCAGTTCATGTTGATTGGTGCCGTTCTTTTCTTCTAGAGATGTGTGACAGAAATTGCCACCCCCACAGTATACATCTCTTCATATCCTTTTCGATCATCAAACTTTTGAAGTATTGAAACTTAGTTACACGTTTGATCAGGGTGATTACGTTATGATGACATGCGGTATACGTACCACGTCGATACCTGGAATACTTTGTCCTCTACGTCCATTTGCATGTTAATGCACATGTTTGAGTCGTTTTCATTACGAGAGGACCTTTGACATGATGAATAATGCAGGAGGCGAAATCATTGCCAGACCAGATAGATGAAGCCATAAGATACATAAAGGGCCTAGAGACAGCAGTGAAGGAAGCCAAAGATAAGAAAGAAAACCTAACGAGCAAGAAGAGACCGAGCTCAAGCACAAGCAGCAATGAGTCGGCGGCCATAATATCACCTCAAATTGAGATCAGAGCGAGAGATTCTTCTCTGGTGGTGATATTAACTAGCGGGCTACATGATCAGTTCATCTTCTCGGAGATTCTCCGGATGCTCCACGAGGAAAAGGTCGAGGTATTGAACGCCAACTTCTCTGTCATCGGGAACTCGGTTTACCACTTGGTGCATGCAAAGGTACGTACTTAATCTCCATTTATTGAATTGGAACTCGCCTTCTAATAGTACACATCAATCATTTTCAAGAGAAGCGGGGAAGTTCATTGCGTTCGTGGTAGGATTAGCCGATAAAATTTCTTTTTCCGGGTAAAACCTAATTCTTAGAGTAGCTTCATATTTATCGGAAATTTCTTGATGTTTTTGCAGATCGGTGAGTCCAGTTTAGGCGCTACAACGATATCCGAACGGCTGAAAACATTCGTGAATGGACCCACGACCGATGGAGGTTATGAAGAATTTCATCCAAAGTTATGGGACTGTGGACTAAGTCCTAACTTGTGGAATTTCTAAAACCCACAAATGCAAATTAAACTACGAAGGCATCTCGGAGGCAAATTTCCAGAGCTTCAGCTTCTGAATTTTGTAAACATTTATTAGAAGCTTCGATGTAAATGCCAATGTTTAATTATGCTGTAAAAGAGTACTTGAAATGAAGTGCAATATTCTATATTTGGAGATATAATGGGAAAGATAATCTTTGATCTCTCCTCTTACCTCAGGCAAAG